GCTTCTCTGTTTCCAGTTGAGAGAAAAGGTAAGATAAGTAATCATGTTACTATTTCTTTAGTAGTTTAAAATGGCTCTTTGGCATTTGATTTTACCCTTCAAATATTTGTATTAATAGAATATTTGCTCACATAATAGCATGTAAATCCACAAAAATGTAAGAATGGAATAATGTGGTGGCTTGTATCAAGGATTAGACTCTGAAATATGTTGTAAGTCATAATAAATCAGATTCTTAACCTGAGAGGTAGGTTTCACATCAGAGAGTTCATAACTTTCTTCAGATTCTCAGAGGAATAGGTAGACCCCTCCCCCCGAAAAAGGTTTNCTTTGGGAATGTAGAGGGTAGAAGTCAGGAATGCTGCTAAACATGCTACACTGCACAAAACCGCTCCCCCATTGCTAGGCTATGTGGCTCCAAATGTTAATAGTGCCAGGGTTGAGAAACCCTGACAGCGCATTGAAAAATGTTGCAGGAAAGCTCAAGTCTCTGCTGTGATAAAATGTAAAATAACTTTATGCTCTTAAATCTAAGCATACATTTTATTGTTATGGTCTTAAAATAATGTTCTTATTATGATTTTCTATTTTAGAAATTAAGCAATCAGCAGTACCTTCAACTTGAGACTTAGTGATTAAGTGAAAACAGTTGCCTTTCCCTTGAAATGCATGCATAATACTTATAACTTTTAAATTATGTTTCCTATTTTAGGTTTTACTGAAGAAACATCTTAGAGACTTGTCGCATTTCTAAGATGTCAATATTTACAATTTGGAGTTGTCAGCCTTCTTCAAAGATAACGTTTTGGAAATCAAAATGACAGTGTTCTCTGAAGTTTTAGAGCAGTTATACGAGAAGGTCCTGCTTGGAGCTGCACTTGAAAATGACAGCCATGATTACATCTTTTACCTCAACCCAGCATTTTCAGATCAAGATCGCTCAACAGCCACCTCCTCAGAAAGGCCAAACACCTGTGGTGTCCTTGGCACGCATCAGCCACCCCCTGTCAGTGTGGCTACTACCGCTGCTGTAGCACCTGCATGTCTGGAGAGCAACTCTCAAGTGCCCAGTGCCCGAGAAATAATGCTCCTTCAGTTAACAGTGATCCAAGTGATGATAACCAAGACACTGTCCATCGAAACTGAGTTTCCTGCAAAGGAGAAATACAAAGATATTATTAAAATTCTTTTAGAATCAGCTGAAGTNATAAAGTAAAAACTACACATCATTTCACCACCTAGAGATAACACTGCAAATATTTTTGTGCTTCATTTTGATCCTTTGTCTCTTTGGCATATTGAATTTCTTGACTTAAAGAATATTAGGACGTTTCTGTTTCTTGTTGTTTTACCAAATATTATGCTTTTTTTGTGAGTAAACAGTGTTGTTTTTAGTTGTATATAGTAATTTATAATTGTAAAGAAAATATATTATAACTACTTTTTAAATTTTCTCACTTGTAGATAACATTAAGTAATTCCTGGATTACTTTTTGCCAGAAAAATCTTTCTGAATATTCTGAGAGTGATAATNTTTACAAAAAACAGGTACGAATTACATTGCCCCATAAGCAATCATTATCTAGCTTCCAGGAACATTAAATTTATAATAAAGAATACACCTTATTTTGTAATATCTGAATGAAGTATGAAAAACTAAAGAGTCTCTCCTCATATGTTTTGATTGAGGATAACCTTTTTAAATAGAAAAAAATTATAAGGAAAAAATTAAAGCTTTTTTAAATATTTGGTTTTTTTTTTCCTTTTTGTCTTTTTTACTGGCCGGTAACAGGATCGCAACCCTCGGTGTCGTGCCCGTACCGGGGACTGGCAACGGGATCGCAACCCTCAGTGTTGCGCCCACGCCGCGCTCAGCCAGTGAGCGGGAACCGGTCACCACATGGCATCCGAACCCTCAGCGGGAGCGCCGCCGCACTCCTAAGCGTCACACTCTCCAGTGCACCACCGGGCCGGCCCTAAATATTTGTTTTAATTAATTTTTTTCCTTAATTGACCCATGATAATTGTATGTATTTATGGAGTACAATGTGATATTTGTGTATATTTATACAGCGTGCAATGACCATATCAGGGTATATAGCATATCCATTATCTCATTTATCACCTCTTTGTGTTGGAAACATTCAAAATCCTCTCAATTAGCTACTTGAAGTTATATAGTAATTTGTTGTTGATTATAGTCACCCTATATTGCTATAGAACACTAGATCTTATTCTTCCTATCTCTCTGCAATTTTGTATTTATTGACCACCCTCTCTCCATGTCCCCTCTCATCTCTCCTTACCAGTCTTCAGTAACCACTATTCTATTCTCTACTTCTATGAGATCAATGTTTTTAGCTTTTACATATGATTGAGGACATGCGATATTTCTCTTTCTGTGCCTGGCTTATTTCACTTAACATGATTGTCCCAAGCTCATCCATGTTGTGAATGGCAGAATTTCATTCTTTTTTATGGCTGAGTAGTATNATAGTTTTATCTGTAGTTCTTTGAGAAACCTCCATACTGTTTTCTACAATGGCTGTAGTAATTTACATTTCCAGCAACAATGTATAAGAGTTCTCTTTTCTCTGCATTTGTTATTTTCTGTCTTTTTGATAATAGCCGTTCTAACTGGGGTGAGATGATGTCTTCTTATAGTTTTGATTTGCATTCTCTGATGATTAGTGATGTTGAGCATTTTTTCATATACCTGTTGGCCATTTGTATGTCTTCTTTTGAGAGATGTCTGTTCAGCTCCTTTGCCCATTTTTAAATTGGATTATTTGTTTTTTTACTATTGAGTTGTTTAATTTCCTTTTGTATTCTGGATATTAATCCCTTGTGAGATGCATAGCTTGCAAATATTTTCTCCCATTTTGCAGGTTGTCTCTTTGCTCTGTTGGTTCTTTTCTTTGCTGTGCAGAAGCTTTTTAGTTTGATGTAATCCCACTTGTTTATTTTTTAAAGCTTTTCATTATTGTATATCCCTTACATAGTCTGATGCTATTAATATTTGTAAAATGAATGTTAACCATGGTTATTAGCTGTTAATGTGTATATCCTCATTTGTTCATGTTAGACGTAAACACCAAATATATTTTTTCATCTTATAAAGTGGTGATTATAAAAATTAACTTGTAGGGCCGGCCCGGTGGC